TAAGCCTCTCCAGTAGCTTATTCATGAAAGAGCACTGGACGTCGAGCCTGCATTCAGGCTCCTTTGCTTACAGAACTGATCTTTTCAGGCCCCAAAGGTCTCCTTACTATAAAATGGGGATAGAGTTCCTCTAGCCTCTCAAGGCTGTTGGGGACACTTTTCCCGGAGCTGTGTGGCAGCCAGTCCTGGGCACGGGCAGCTCTGGGGGGCACCTTCTCCTGTGTGCGGTTCACCTTCCTAGCTTGCACCCCGCTGTTGTATCACTGTGACTACAGCATCAGCCACCCAGGCCACTGGGGCAGACGAAACCCCTCTGTACATTGTCCCCAGTAAAGATACAATTCGGGCCACGCATGTAATTGGACATTGTTTAGAAGTCACAATAAAGAGGTAAAAATAAACAGGTGAAATTCATTTGAATCTATTTGATTTAACCCTATATATGTGAAACATCATTTGGACAAGTGTCAATGCAAAGATTCTTGAATGAGATCTTTTACATTCCTTCTTTCACACTAAGTCTTTGAAATCCAGCACGATTTCATCCTCTCGGAGCATATCATTTTGGACTAGTCACATTTCAAGTGCTTGCCAGCCACCCAGGGCTTGTGACCACCTTACCAGACAGCGTGACTCTGGGTAGACAATGTGCTGGTGCTTTTCATGGAATGGATGTGGCCATAAAATGGCTCTTTGTACCAAGAGAACAGGAGGTGGAACACTTAGTTCTCCTTCTCAGCTTTCCACATCGTGACCGAGAGAGACCGCTTGACCTGTCCTTGTAACAGTGCCAGTCAGGCAGGAAGGGGGCGCACCCCTGGGTCCTGTCTCTCCCCCCGGGGAAATGCAGGCAGTGCTTTTCCAGGCTGCAGGGCTGGCTCCCTGCCAGTGCTGGGGCCCAGGGAGGTTGGAGAGCACTGTGCTTGTTCATTCTGCAAATGCATTGGACCTTGGCACCTCGCTCGCTGCGAGTGTGGAATGCTTGGACAACAGAGCAGAAATATCCGCGGGTCCCATCTCAGAGTCTCTGCAAGGCCTGTGGGTTTGAAGAGGGTGCAGGCAGGTTGGAGGGGACTGGGGGAAAGGTCTGCCATACCTCAGAGGCCCTGACACTGCTGTAGGGTCTGATAGGATTGGGGGCATGGCTGCCTCCCCCCAGATCACCCATTTGGGAGAAGTAGTTGTGTCAGGCACAGGCCCAGGTGGGGATGGTAAAGCCTTCAGGCTGAACATGTCATCTTGGAGGTTTAGCTGTGAGGTGGGGCCTGGGAGCAGTGTAACCTCAGCTGAGGAGGCGGAGAAAGGGTGGCTCAGGGCCTGGCCCTCACAGGCTGCTTCCTATCAGGAAGGTGAGAAAAAGTCCTTTCTTTTGGAGTCTTCAAAGTCCTGAAGATGGTAAGATCACCTTAAACTGTGAACTGTGTCCTGAGATTTCCTTTCTGTGCGGGATGGCTGCCTTGCGTGGAGCCGGGGGCCTGTGGGTGGGGTGTGCTGGGTGCCGGGGTGCTGGGTGTCCTAGGATCGCCTCCCACATCAACTCTGCACTTGAATCCTTGTCTTACAGGCTCGGCTTCAGGGGGAGCCCCAGTGAAGACAGGTTAACACATTTATGTAATATGCACTGACTGTGCTGTGCATACTGAAAGGTGATCCTGGGCAAAGTCTATCCTGCAGATGCCCGTAAGTCCCACCTTTGGTGTCCAGGATCACTTTTAGGATGTCACTTCTGGTCCCCTCTTCATTAAAGGGACTAGATTCACGGCGCTGAGACCTCATAGGTGTCGGTCAGCAAGTGCCGCTGGCAGAGGTGCGTCGTCTGTGTCTGGCACTGACCGTCCTCAGTGGCTCCTGGTCCTTCTGAGTCAGCCCCCTGCCCCCATGGCCAACTATTCCAGGAGCCCTGCCCCCCAGCTGCTTTCCTGCTCCCTGATCTCCAGGATGTTCACCTCGCTGTCCCCGGACTGGACCTCCTGTGGGATTCTCTAGGGCTCAGGCCCAGCTCTGCCCGGCTCCCCAGGTTCTCTGAGAATGGTGTGGAGTAGAACAGGAGGGTTCTGGAGTCGGGCTGCCCCGTTTTGCCCTTTCTTGGCTGTGTTAGTTTGTTCCGGTTGCCATAGCAAAGCTGGTAGGTGGCCGTCTTCTCCTTGTGTCTACACATGGGCTTTCCTCTGTGCGTGTCTGTTTCCTAATTTCTTCTCCGTATGAGGACGTCAACCATATTGGATCAGAGCCCACCCTAAGGACTTCATTTAACTTAATCACCTCTTTAAAAGGCCATTTCCAAATACAGTTAGATTCTGAGGTTGGGTTTTGGGGCTTCAACATTTCAATTTTCGAGGGGGCATAGCTCAGTTCCTAATGCTATCTGTGCGACCTTGGGCAAAGTCATTAACCTCTCTGGGCCTTAGTGTCCTCCGCTGTAAAATAGGTGTAATAAGCAGGTTATTGTGAAAGTCAAATTAGAGGACAAAGTTGTGGTCTTCAAATGCTTTTGCTTGCATAGCCCCGAAAATCATTTAAAAAACTACACACCCTTGAAAATTTTTTGTTGACGTGAATTTTTTTTATCGTAAATGTAAATTGTTGCAAAAGATGTAATTTCCAGAGCATCACAAATGTTGAGATCTTAAAATGAAATGGTTAAACCTCTTTTACATCTAAATGTCATAGATTTAATAACTACCTCTGTTGATTTAAAAAAACTCCATGAATAAGTTAGCTGTTAGAAGTTTTATATTGTTCCTTTTTCTCCTGGAACTTTTGTCTTCAATCCACTTCCTTCACAAAATTGTATCCTTCTTTAATACAGTTTTTGATCTGAAAGTCCTGTATTGATCACCGTATCATACTTCTCTGAAATGTTTCTAAAAATTCAGATTAAGAATGTTTTTATTTCCTTCTTCCATAAATTTCTAGGTGTTAAATCTTTTTTTCTGGATTGAGTTATTAATATTGCACAATTAGGAAGATTTGGACTATGAGTATAAAATTAATCAAAACCACATAAATATGTTATAAATTGATAAATAATAGTCATAAGTAAAATTTTATTGGAAGTGTATTTTTATTGAAATGGATTTTTACTTCATATACTCTTGTAGGAATTTGTTTAGTGATAGAATTCGGTATCAATTCTATTCCTATTTTTTTAACAGAGGTTAGCTCTGAAATACCTCATTTGATATAAAAAGAGGCAGGAATGGCTGAAGTTTTCTTACACTGCTCAATACTTTATACTGCTTCCAAGTTATATGTCGAAAGTCATATAATGATCTATCATCAAAAATGATTTTTAATACCAGGCTAGCTGACAACTGGCTTAGGTCATTAGTCAGTCCTTGTTGAAAGCAAAATGTTGGAACCCTCCCTGCCCAGGGAAGGGTTTAGTTGCCTGGTCATTACTCATTTGCCTTCTCAACACTGGCACCAATACTTCCAATCATTTCTTGTTTGATACCCACTGGGTTTCACCCCCAGGACAGGTCTCCATGGTGCGAGTCAGGATCAGTGAGAGGTGTGTCGTGATCCGAAGTAGAAAGGTGAATGAATTCTTAGGAAGCAATATTATGGGAGGTGAGGATCTAGAAACTGATTTCCTTAAAACCCTCCTTCCTAAGAGGGCTTAGGGGTGTGCGAACCTCAGACTAAACACCCCTGATCTATAGCATAAGCTTAGAATAGTGCCAGGAATGTCTGAAGTAGTCAATATATACTAGCTAAATGCAACTTATTGTTGCATCTGTGAATTATCCAGCACAGAGTAGGCGTGTGGTAAATGGAATGCGGGAAGAGTTTTAAGTACTAATAGAGGTTGGACCAGATAAACCTAAAAAGCCCCCTCTAATGCTGAGATTCTGTCATCCTGGTCTGGAACTTGCATTGGTCACCTGCGTGACAGGTCATTCTAAGAAGAAGCTTAACACAACAGCTGTTTTATTTGCTCACATTCTGCAGGTCGGCAATCTGGGCTGGGCTCAGCTGAGCAGCTCTTCTGGTCTCAGCTGGAGTCTTTCATGCAGCTGCAGTCTGCTGGGGGATCCGCCGGGGCCTGGCTGCTGTGGGGCCTCAGCTGGCATGACTTGTGTCTGCTCCGTGTGGCCTCCTCTTCCAGCAGACCAGCCAGGCTTCTTCACATGGTAGCAGAAGAATTCCTGCAACGAGAGAGAGAGCAAGGCTCAGAGCACGAGGCCCTTTTATTCTGCTTGTGACTCATTGGCTAGTGTTTCATTGGCCGAAGCAAGTCATGTGGCCAAGCCCGGAGCCATTGTGGGACAGGGTTCCACAAGGCTGTGGGTAGGTACAGGGAGGCGTGCTTCCTTGGGGCCATCGATGTAACAACCTGCCACACAACCCCAGGGCCCTGTGGCTGTTTCGGCTTTCACTCTCTTCCAGGTGAACTCAGCTGAGAGCCTTAGCCTGGACTCTTGTCAGGACGAGTGCCCTGGTATTCTTATTTTTCCTCCATAGTTAGAAGCATTTGGTTTTTCTCAAGGAGACTTACTGTAGGGGCTATCTTGCTCCGGATTGTTTTCCCAAGGGCCTCCTCTTAGTCCTGGAAGAGCATTAATCAGAGGAGGAAAACCTGTTTTACAGAGAGGAGCTTCTAAGTGGAGACACGTTGGCCCAGCTTTGCCCAAGAAGGATTTCTCATGGCTAAGGCAGAGCCGAGAAGTGGGGTGGCTCTGTTACTCCAGGACCCTTCAGCTTAGAGCCCAACTCACCCTGGCTTGGCTGGAAATGAATGAATGGGGTTATGTAAGCTGGAAGTCAGTGGTGTGTGGCTTCATGCCTGGCTAGATCCAGGGATGGAGCAATGTGAAGTCCCTGTGGGTGTCCACGCTATGACTCTGCTGTCCTCACCGAAAGAGAAGTGTGCAAGCCCCGAGAGGTGGCTTGTGTCTGGGCAATACCTTAGTACCTGCATTTCCTGGTAATTCCTGGAGCTTATAGATCTAAAGTGGCATTTATTTACCATGTTCTTTTTCTTTTTTCTTTCACAGTGAGACATTATTTGGTGAAATGCCCTCAGAACAGGTAGGGATATTTTCTTCCTTTCTTCAAATAAAACTCCTTATTATTTTGCTTTCTTTTGATGTTACTAAGAAATTGGTTAAATTTGTATCTTTACGTAAAAGTCTGCGTATTAGACCACAGATTAGCCTAAAGAATGTGTGTTCTGCATGCATTTGCATGTTTCCAGATGCCATACCCCAGCTGTCACCCCCAGAGGGTCCGGAGAATGTGTGGCTCATGCTGGCCCACCATGCATGCTGCAGGAGGCTTGGCACCTGCTGCTGGAGGGCTGCTGCCCCCGATTAGGATGGGGCTGGCAGCTGGACAGAACTACTCTGATGCCTTCGAGCATAACATTCCTAATCCCCTTCCACCAATGTCTGCTTGTCCCATGCCCCGTTCTTACAAAATGCAGCCGTTAGTAATATATGTGCTAAGATGCTAGCCTTTTAGCTGGTGAGACAGTCCTCAGAGCTAACATAAAAGTAACAGGAGATGTTGCAAACTCGTAGTGTTTAAAAATTTGAGACTTCTGGTCCAGACAAGATGGCATAGGTTGATTTCTCCCTACTCTTCCCTGCTAAACACATTTATAAACCCTGGAAATAATGTAAGAGCCCGCCAAAGGAGGCTCTGAAAGGTGGTAAGTAGAAAATTATGAAAGATAAAGACGAAGAAAAAAATCTTAAAAGCTACCAGAGAGAAAGAACGCATTCCCCATAGGGGAACACAAATTTGAATGATGGTGCGTTTTTCATCTGCATCTGTGAAGGGTAGAAAGAAGCGGCACATTTTTCAAGTCCTGAAAGAAAAGAACTGTCAACCACAAATTCTATATCCAGCAAAAGCTATCCTTTAGGAGTGAAGGGGAAATGGAGACATTCTCAGAAGAAGGGAAACTAAAAGAATTTGTCACTATCAGGCCTACCTTAAAAGAATGGCTAAAAGAAATTCTTGAAATAGAAGAAAAAAATCTTGGTGTTTTAGGAAGGAAGGAGGAACAATAGAAAGAACAGAAATATGGGTACCTACCTAGACTGTTTTTTCCTCATGAATTTTAAAAATAATGTTTGATGATTGAAACAAAAACTATAAAACATTTGGATACTCAAGAACATTGTGATATTTAAAAGTGGGGAAGATAAAGTGACCTAAATAGAAGTGAGGTTTCCACATTTCACTCAAAGTGACAGAATGTTGGTGCTAGTAGACTGTGGTAAGTCATATATGGATGTTATAATGCCCAAAGCAACCATTAAACTAACTATGAAAAAAATACACTCAAAACACTATAGAAAAGTAAAGAAGGGATCCTAAAGTATGTTCAAGCAACATAAAGAAATAGAGGAATGAGAATCATTGAAAACAAATAATAAGCTGGCAGACCTAATTGCTAACATACTTTTTATCTTAAGTGTAAATGGTTTAAATATATCAGTCAAATGACAGAGATTGACAGAGCAGATTAAAAAAACATGACCCAACTATATACTCTTTACGAGAAACTCATTTCAAACATAGTGATATAGGTAGATTGAAATAAAAAGCTAGAAAAGGATACAACATGCAAACAATGAAAAAAAATCAGGAGTGGGTATACTAATATATGATAAAATAGACTTCAGAACAACGAAACTTAATAGAGACAAAGAGGGACATTAGAGAATGATAAAAGGATCAATCCGTCAGGAAGACAACTATCCTAAATGTGTGTACACATCGAACAGCAGAACCACAAAATACGTAAAGCAGAAACTGAAAGAATAAACTGGTAAATCTACAATTATAGTTGGCAACTTCAACACCCCCCTCTCAGCAATGGATAGACCTCCTAGATAGAAAATTTGCAATGATTCTGAAGATCTAAACAACGCAATCAACCAACAGGACCAAATTGATAACAGAGCAAACACTCCAGCCACCAACAGTGGAACATACATTTTTCTAGCCTCCGTGCAACATTTGCCATAAGATATGGTCTATCTTAGACAGTATCCTAGGCTTTAAAACAAAGCTCAACAAATTTAAAACAATTGAAACCATATAAAATGTGTTCTCTGACCACAGTGGAATCAAACTAGAAATAAAAGACAAAACAATGGCAGGAAAATCTCTAAACATGTGGAAATTAACACACTTTTAAATCATCCATGGATCAAAGAGAAGGTCTCAAAGGAAATAAAAGATAAGCAGAATTGACTAAAAATTAGAATAAACATAAAATATGTGGGATGCAGCTAAAGCAGTGCCGACAGGGAAATCTATAGCTAAAGATCAAAGCAGAAACTGATGAAATTGAAAATAGCAGAACAATAGAGAAAAATCAATGAAACAAAAAGCTGGTTCTTAGGAAGCCATTGGGAGAAAATGAGCAAAATGTACACAGGCTCTCTCTGCTTTATTTTATGACTGTATGTAAATCTGCAATTATCTTGGTAAAAGTTTCAATTAAAATTGAATTTGGATGTCTCTGGGGGATCCCGTTTACAGTCCCAACAGTCCCCATCCCTGACTGCTTTGTGTTACTGCTGTTCAGTTTGGGATCCTTAGAAACTCTGTTACTAGTATCAAAATGCAAATTTATTTTATTGAGAGTTTACACCCTACCAAGTACTGTTGTGGGAGCGTGGGACACAGCAGTGATGGAAAGAGGCAGAAATCCCTACCTTTGTGGAGTTTACCGTCCGTGAGTCCAAGTGCCTATGTTTCCAGGAGAGATGTCTGACTATGGCCAAGTGAGGAGATGAGCAAGTCCTCTCCCCTGAAAAACAACTATGAAACCAAACAAAATTGACAAGAATAACTATTTTAGCACTCTGGAAAGACCAAAAGTATAAACTAAACTGAGAGGCTTTTGTACTTGAAAGACTGCTGACTGCTGGTGAGAACAGTGGGAGTCTGTGGCCATTTGGCCGCAGGCTGCTCCGAGATGCTCCCTTCCTGCTTGGTTGATGCTGAGGTCCTTGCAGGGCAGGGAGTGCCATGGGCCACCAGCTCCTCTATTGTGGTGGAAGGGGCTTGTCTGACTTGGAGCAGTGTGCAGTGCCCACATTCAGCAGCACTGTCAGTGGAAGTGGCAGCATTAGAAGTATTGATCAGGGAAGCCCAATGACTCTACTCGCCGTGGGTTTTGGTCCCTGTTGGGCAAGCGTATTTCTGGCTGAGGCAACATGCATGTGCGATGGAGAATGGAGAACGTATAAAGGTTGGCAAAAGATGTACCATAAAAACAGTAACAATAAGAGAGGTGGTAGCTAAATTAATATCAGATAAGATATAACCTAAAACAAGAAATATTACTAGAGGCAAAGAAGGAAATTTCATAATTATGAAGGATCAACACATCGGGAAGATATAACAATTATAAATGTATATGGGCCTAACAACAGAGCCTCAACAGACGTGAAGCAAAAACAGAAAATTGAAAGAGGAAGTCGATGATTCTAGCATAATAGCTGGAGATTTCAATGCTCCATTCTAATAAATGATAGTATACCTGGACAGAAAATCAACACAGGCACAGAAACTAAGCAGTCTGATCTGACGCATGAGAATGCTTTACCCAAATGAATGCATGATACATTCTCTTCAAGTGTGCTTGGAACATTCTTCAGGATAGACCATATTCTAGACCATAAAACAATCTATATAAACTTAAGAATTTTATGTGTGTAAGAAATCATGTAAAGTCTGTTCTCTGATCACGAAAGAATTAAATAGAAATTAATGACAGAAAGAAATCTGGGAAATTCCCCAAAGTGAGACTAGTTGGATGTTTGAGTGTGGCTTGGCCTGTGGGCCTCTCTGCTGTTGGGCTAGCCCACAGATTGGCCCCTGGAAAGACTGCCTTGACTCCTCTGCACCCCAGGACTCTGCAGGGACACGCCTGACCCACGAATCTGGTAGAAAGCACCTTGCCGATTTGCCTTTATCTTCCTCCTGAAAACCTCGTGCTGATTTGACTTAGCGCAGCTCAGGTTTCTTGCTGTGGGGCCTGGTTGGTGCACTGGTCAATCCTTGCCTTTAAGCTCTGGCTTTGGGCCTAAATGGCGCTGTGCCTCTGCAGCCCAGGCCGTTCCTTCTGTCGTGCCAGAGGGCTTCCAGATCCCACTCCGTCATCGGGGCTGTAGCACGGGCGGCTGGACCTCTGCAACCTCAATCTGTGATGGAGTCTCGTGTCCTTCTCTGTCTTCTGACCACTTCCTCCTAAGGGAGAACGGGCAGAGAGCACAGGGCCAAGGCAAGATGCCGGGAACGGAAACACTCCGGCAGGAGAGAGACTCTGGGGAGGAGGCCTCCCGCTGGCGCTGAAGCTGCGGTCGCCCCGAGGGGCCTACCCCAGGGACGGGGCCAGACTCTCGGGAGTTCATGACTCGCTGAGAGAAGTTCTAACAGAAGCAAAGCAAGTCTCATCTTGAATGTGTGTTATTCCTGAAGTCGGAAGTTGCCATCTCCTGGGAGGAGTGGCCCTGACCTTTGGAGTTGGGAGACTGTTCCTTTCTGGGGACAAAGCGTTCTCCCAGAGCAGAGAGCCGGGCCGAGCGAGCATCTGAGGCTTCTGCGAGATTTGAAATGTGCCCTCTCTGGGGAAAAGAGCCATGACAGCGGCTCCACTCGTAAGTATGAAACTGCTCCAAAAGGTCCCGGAAAATCAGGTTTAAAAAGAAATGCCACCAGCTGCATGGACTTGTGACACATTCCCGCCCTGTGACACCTCTTCAGTGGGTTCACATCTTTCCTTCCTGTAGGTCAAGTTCAGGAATGTTGTTGAGAGGATGTACGGGGCGTTGAAAAGGTGGTTCGCAGCCAGTGCGTTTCCTGATATTTCGCTTGACCTCTTCTTCCGGATTTGAGATAATAAAGGACTTGCGAATGGGGGAAACTGAAGTGGACACTGTGTTACCTGTGCCCATGGCCGTTACCCCTGAAGTCCTCCGAGCTTTCTTCACGTTTCCGGTGCGTGCACTTTCTCAAGGTTCCATAGGGGCACAGACTATTTTGTGTGTTGGATAAATTACAGG